AGAGGGGCAATGATAGGGTAGTGGATCACGAAGGGGTGGCAGGTGGCTAGGTCGGACGAGGACGGTGGTGGTGGCTAGGTCTTGGCAAGAGCGGTGTTGGCTGGAGCAGGGACGGTGTTGAACGCAACAGGGGTGGCGAGATTGGTCAAACATAGTGGCCATTGTGATGGGGTGTCACTGAGCCTAGATGGTTGTGTAATTAGGTCACTGCATTGATTGTAATGGTAACTTATGGTAGTGGTCACTTTGACCAATGTAGTCACTGGCCAGGCGGCGGGGTCGCTGTGGCATTGGCCAATGCGGGACAGAGTCACTCTAACTTTAGTTACTGTAGCATTGGACACGGTAGCGGATCAACTAATTTTTGTAAGGGTGAGATGATTCTCTAAGCCTTTTTAGTCTCATATTTGGATTTTTTATAAAAGGGAAAACTGTCAAATAGGTCCTCGAACTTTCATAAAAAAGTCAATTAAGTCCTTCTATAAGAGATTCTGTCTGATTGTCGCGATTTGGGGCGGTTCCCGGTGGATTTTTTTGATTGATTTTTTTGAGCATCTTATTCATCAAATCTAGTTTACTCGTACCAAATTTCAGCTAAAAATTTAATTGGGAGCGCATTCAAATTAATTCAAGAACGCAAAAATGCGCAGTTATCTTCAAAAATTAATTTGAATGTGTCCCCGATTGAATTTTTATCTGAAATTTGGTATGAGTAAACTAGACTTGGTGAATAAGATGTTCAAAAAATTTCATCAAAAAATTCTACCGGAAACTGCCCCAAATCGCGATGGCCGAACAGAACCTCCTATAGAAGGACTTAATTGACCTTTTTATGAAAGTTCGAGGACTTATTTGACAGTTTTCCCTTTTTAAAACAAGTCTTCTATTTGTTTTTAACTTCTCCATTAGTATTATTTTTGTCAAAACCTCATTATTAAAACTGATTTAATTAACTATTGCAACGATATTTAATCTTTATTACTGGTCAATCTTAAACCCAAAAATTGCAAATCAATTTAGGACGAATGAAGTACATACAAAAAATTACATGATTATAATCATATATCTCAAACTAGACCGACCAATTCGAGAATGAAGTTATGTAGGAAAACAGACACTTAGCTAGTCTTGTCAAGTGAGATCGTATTTGCGGTGACTCGCAATGTTTTGTGATTGTTGTTGGGTGTGTTTCAAAAAACAAAGGAAATAATTAATAAAAATTAATTAAGTAAAATGACTAAGAAAAACAAGTAGATGAAGCATAAATTTGGGGCTGGACCTGGAACAAGATAGATTTTCGGACGACATCCGTGTCCGCAGGTCGCCCGCGCACGCAAGTCGCGGTTTTTCTTCTCCGTTTTTGGGATTTGATCGGCATCCCCTGCGCGCAAAGAAAGTCTTTCCATCTAAAAATCTTCACTCCTTCAAATGGGGTTCCCTTTAAAAGGGGGTGAAAATCCCTTGAGTTTTCCGGTGTGAGATAAAACACACTAGAAACTCATCATTTTCCTAGTTTTCTCCATTTCGACGAGTGAACTTCGAGAATCAATTTCTCATTCACCCGTTATCCATTTTGAGTGTACCACATATCGAATTGTAGCCCTTAGCAAGGGTAATTCGAAACCACTTAGACCCGACCTAAATCGGAAGTGGATCCCACTCAAAAAATTGCCCTAAAATGATCATTTAATGCAATTTATTAACACATTTTCGAATAGTTGTAAATCGTTTTTAGCTTATTCTTATTTAATTAATTCAATACCAACAACACAAACTCATTTTTCTTAATAACCACACAACCTCACCTCCTCCTCATGAACAGAGGTAATGATTAATTATGCATAATTTGTGCAAGAAGATCAACTGCAACCAAATCAATGGATAGTAGGCATCTATATGTACTTAGAGTACTAATTTGCCAACACTATCATATTCTCTACTCAAATTAAGGTTCTCAGTTTAATTTAGCAGTCAATCGGAAAATCCAGCATAATAATTGAATTAGTGTTTATTAGTAAAACATACACATTTGGAAGCTACTCCATCAAAAGTTCTATTTAATTGCAAAATTCAAATTTGAACGCGATACAGAATGTTATCCGATCAGGAATTAAAAGAGGTATAATTACTACAGAAATGGTATCTCTAAACATTAAATGAGGATGTATGAAGTACTCGTGGTTTTTTTTGTGAATCAGTGATAATTTGAGGAAACAAAACTAGCAACACTATTGGAATCAGGGCCGGTCCCGAGGAAATGAAGGCCCTGTGCAAAAAAAATAATTGGGCCTTCTTTTCAAAGTTTCAACAGAAGTTTAAAAAACCGAACCGAAACCGCACCGACTCAAACGGGACCCGAATGTCGGGACTCGAACATAAATCGGTTTAATGAAGGTTTTTTGAGTTATAAAATCGGTTCAAACCGAACCGAACCGATTTTTATTAAGAGGTATTTTAATTATTTATTTTGTAGAACAAATAGGTAATATAAAACTTGTACGTCCGTATTTCAAGAATTAGTTGATTTGGTCCGGCGGTTGATGTTTAGAAATCAGCGTGCATGCTTTTATTTTCACCTGGGTTTAAATCCCGCATGCCTCGCTTCTTTTCTTTTTCGTTTCTAAAGCTTAAGATTCCCACACCGGTGGAAACGGAGAATTTATCACTCCTTCGTTCCTATATACACGCTCCTCCTTTGCATATGAGGAATACGCGAAGTGATGAACCAGGCTTGCTTCAAAGCCTTGCCCTAGTCCACCTAAGTAATAATACTCCCTCCGTCCCGCTAACATTGGGACAAAAGGGAGTGACACACAAATTAATAAAAAGTTGTTTATGTGGTTGATATTGAATTGGTAAAGTAAGAAAAAAGTAAGAATGATTTAGAGCCACACAAACTTTACCAAGTTTGGTATGAGACAATATTAATGAGACGAACCGATAAGGTAAAATGGGACAATCATAGTGGGACGGAGGTAGTAGAGTATACTACTACAAAAAAAATTGGGCCCTTCCAATTTTTTGGGCCATGTGCGGTTGGACACCCTGCACACCACCGGGGCCGGCCCTGATTGGAATCATGAGATAAGAAATGATTCTTTCTTTGTTAAAAGTTTTGTTACATTTGCAGGAAGATGACAAGGCAAAACTAGTTGAGGAAACAGGACTGCAGCTCAAGCAAATTAATAACTGGTTTATCAACCAAAGGAAGCGCAATTGGCATAGCAGCTCACAATCGATGACATCTCTCAAGTCCAAACGCAAGAGATAAAAAGACACTCAATTGACTATTTGTCTAAAACATCATATATTTACATTTATAATTACTTTGCACACAAATACTGGAACCTCCTTTTAATGTGATAGTGGTGGGAAAGAGAAACAAGAATTTATTCCAATCACATGTTTAATTAATGAAAGCCACATTTAATTCATTAGTTACATTGAGATAATTCTATTCTCATTCCTGTGCATATATGGTTATATATTCCTAATGAATAATTGGATATATGATTCTTCAAGACTAGTTACACATATGGATTCCATTGTTGTGATTATAATTTCTTATTTGTTTCTTCTGAAATTTAGCATTTATTTTTTGTTGTAGAACATGATAATACTCTTCTTATTTTTGCACCTTAGTGTATTTGTATTTTACTCTAATTTGCACCTTTTATTGAGAATAGTCATGTTTGATTTATTTGTGTGCTATTCAAATTTACATATTTTCATATTCTATAATTTTATTCTCGAATCACAAAATTAAAAAATTGGTAAAGGTACTATTTCAGATTGTTGAATATTTATAATTCCACCTCCTTCACCTATATCATGGGCTTTGTTGTTAAATATAATGTCTATCTTCTCATTTCTCAATTAACTCATCTTGAATGTTATATTTTCTACTACCTCGTCCCAAAAAACTTTTACATCTTTAAAACTTCGATCAACTATTGTTGGGGTAATTGGCTCAATACAGAGTCGGCCCAATACCCTCGCGAAGGAATTGAATAAAACCCCCATCAAGACCCAAGGACCGTCGGTCCAGCTCAGGCGGCACGTCCCGCGCAACATCATGTCATTAGATCGTTCATAGTGGCCACCATGAAGCTCTTAGTCGGCAAGCTCAACTTGGTTCGCGGGAAAGCAACATCTTTGACGGGAAGCACATTAAATGCCCAAGAAATGCAAGATTTTATGGTTGGGAGATTAGCCACTCATAGCATTCCACATCACCACCACCACCTACTCCATGATAGTATAAATAGTTTTATCCAAAAAAAAAATGATAGTATAAATAGTGACATTTATTTCATGGTTAGGAGTTGGCAACTTGTATTCTCTAGCTTTAGTCCTTGTGACACTTCAAAAAATTTAAATAAAAATAAAAATAATTTTTTTAATCAGATAAAATATTACGAAAATAACATTTTAATTATTAATTGAGTCAGACAAAAATTCAACAGTTGTAAAATTCTAAACAGATAAAATTTCAAAATTTATGACGTTTTAGTCAGATAAAAATATTTCAGTAATAGGAACAACATTTTATTAAACAAGTAAACCAGACAAAAATTAACATTTGTGACATTTTTAGTCTGATAAAAGTGGTCCGATAAAAGAAATAACATTTTATATCAAGTACCAATTATACATATGACATAAGAAGTAAAAAGTTATATTTTAATCAAAATACACAAAATACAAACTTGACTTTTCTAATAATACTAATACACTCCTAATGCATAAAATATACCTACGTATTTATCTAAGACCATAATAACTAAACACATGCATTGATACAAAAGATAAGACATACGAAGTACGTAATAAAAGAAAAGAAAGATTTAAACCTTTAAAAGACTTCAATACAGATTAGGAATGTATCAAACCACGTTTTACGCATGAAATAACTCAACCTGCGGGAGTCCCTACGGAAGAAGCCAAATGAATTCAACTCAAACTCTAACATCTCAGCCTAAAACCCTCATCTTTTCCTATAAATAACAAGCCAAACCTGCGATTTTATTCATTCAAAACTGCGAGCAATACATACATATATACGTATATATATATATATATATATATACTCTATATTTTCGACCCATCGTTTTAGCCAGAACCAAGCCGCGAAAATACTTCCCAAACCTTCCCCTTCGTGATACGAATCCAACGGAAAAAGAATCGTCGAAAACGGTCGTGAAACGAGGGAGAAAAGCCTCGCCGGAGTTTCGCCGGAGAAAAAACATTTCGACGAAAAACGGAGAAAAGGGAGGAGCTGCCGCCGCCGCCGGACCACCACTGACCTTCGCCGCCCTGCTACCACCATTTTCGGCCGTTCTCTCGTCCAAACGGAGTAAGTTCTCCCCCCCCCCCCTGTTTTTCCCGTTTTCCGGCGAAGCAATGAGGAAGATGACCCAGCTGCTGGTTTTGGGCCTTTTTCAGGATTGGGCCAGAAAATAAAATTTGGCCCAGTTCGGCCCAGTTGCAATAAAAATTAAAAATAAAATAAATAAAATCTGGAAAAATATAAATTAAATACCTAGTATAAATATACATATTCGGACCAACCAGAATTGGAAAATAATATTTTTAGCTATTTTTAATTGATTTAATGGTAATTGGGCCAATTTATACACATTTAGTAAATAATTAACTAAATAACGAAAATAATTATGAAATAAATATTGGAGTAAACTAGGATAAATATATAACTAACTAGGACCTTATGGACCATTTATAATTAATAAATATTAAGATTTAATATATTTAATTGTAATTGAACCGGTTAATAGATATATGAAATTAAAGGAATAATTATGGAAAATAATTATAAAATAGATATCTGGACAACCTAGGTCGAATATAGACCCAAAATATATTTATGGACGGTTTTTAATTTGTAAAGTCGATTTTTAGTCTATTTATTTAAATTAGGCCATATAAAACTAGTTAAGTAATTAAATAAGGAAATATTAGTATTAATGGTGAAATAAATAAATCACTGAGGTTGAAAAATAATATTCTGGACTAAAAATAATGTTTGAATAAAATAAGGAAAATAAATATTTTCGGTTATGTAAATAAAGTAATTAGATAATAATTAGAGAAAATTAATGGTGATTATTGAATAAAAATTGGATGTTGTAGTCAATAATATTCGGATATTTTATTTAATATTAGAATTCAAATATTATAATTAATGGCTGAATTAATAAGGTAATTTGATTAATAAAAAGTGATTAACCAAAGTTTATGTGAATAATAAAATAAAAGGGGAAAATCGGGTAAAGTAATTACAAATAGAATAAGTGACTAATTTATCATATTTAATTAAAAAGGTGATTGTCTAGAGACCGGATTAGAAGAGGATAACTAGGAGCATCAGGACTTAAGGTAAGTTTCTCTGCCAATCCAAAATTGTTTCCTCGTATTATATGCTTATTATGCATTATGTGATTAAGTGTGAATTGTGAAATTTGTGTATGTGATTTTGAGAAGATATTATATATATGGTAGTTAAGAAGTATAAATCAAGTACTTTTGGGGTATTGAATATTTTTAAATACCTTTGAGACTTTTTAGAGAAATTAAGAAGTATTTTTGAAGTATTGTTAAGCAAAGATAAAATTTACATTTTCATAAGAAGATAGCATCTCGGGAGTAATCCGAGGTGTCGGTTTTTCCACATCCGGATAAATGTGGAGGGTGATTAGAGCTACTACTACTAAGAAGTACAGTTTGGATTTATGATCCCTTTTAAGCAAGATTTGGATCTATGATCCCTTTTAAGTAAGATTTGGATCTATGATCCCTTTTAAGTGAGATTTGGATCTATGATCCCTTTTAAGAAGAAGTTATAGTAGTAGTCCCTAATCATTCAAGAATTTTAGAACTGGGGTGGTTGGGTTCCGACCACTCGGGATGACTTACTACTCGGAGGGCTTGGAATCCCTTTTAGGGGGTGTGCACACTTAAGGTAGTCGTTTCGTTTCCAACAGAGCAGTTGTGGTACCGGCACTTGTTCGGGGTGGCCGTCCGTAACCACGGTCCACCGGGCTCTATCGAAAGGTTGAGCACCGCCCTTCTAAATTACTAGGAAGTTAGAGAAGAAGTGATTTTCTTAAGAAGTTTAAAGAGAAGAGATACTAAGAGATTTTCGAAGAGAAGTTTAAGATTTTAGTAAAGAAGTAATTTTGAGAAAAATCAAAGAGAAAAGTATTTTGGAAGAGTGCGTCATTTTTATATGATATTATATAAAAATCTATTTTTTAGTCAAACATGATTATTTTACGGGGTTGGGTAGTACTTACTTAGCTCTAAAGCTAATTTTTGTTATTTTTCTTGTCTCTCTCTTCTCCCTTAAATTTTATCAGGTGATGAGTTGGATACCTATGTGGATTGACGGATTGCTCGAGCTTGAGTGCGAATTAGAAGATGCCTTAGTTAAATCTAGTCATAAAACAAACATTTACTTATTATTACATTAGTTTTTATTGTTTTACTTTGAGTTGCCTGTGCATTCGGTTAAGAGATGACCGAATGTGGCGGTAACACTCATTTCCCTTTTAGACTTCCGCTGTATTTCTTCAACTCTTTAATGAATGAATAAAGTATTTCTTTTAAAATATATCAATGTTTTGGGCGGGAAATTCAGGGGTGTTACAGTCCTTCTCTCTATTCTTATGTAACTTCAGCTTAGACTAGAGGCTAGGTGCTCGGTTCAGTAGGGTGTGTTGTAATTGTTCTAAGTAGGGGTGTTCACCGGTCCAAAACCGGACCGAATCGGACCAGACCGGAACCGGAATCATAAATTTATGAGGACCGAAGATCGGACCTATTATTAACCGGTCCAGACCGACCCGGACCTGAATATTCCGGTCTGGTCCGGTTTTGACCCTAATTGACCCAATTTTTAAAACAAAGACATAATATCATAGACTTTTATTTCGAACAATAATCCGGTGTGCAAATGTGTGTAGTAAATTTTTAATTCGTATATCAATATCTCTAAAATCTTATGAGAGTGAATATTGTTAACAGTATATTGGTCATAAAAAATGTGTTGGTGTCTGTTGCTGCGTAAAGTCATTGTACATCATTTATGGTTTTTTGTACATTTAAACTTATTATTGCAGCTTGTGCTTTAACGGAGAAGTGGCTTCCGTTAACTAAGGTTCCCTTTCGCTCATTTGCGTCATTTAACGTATCCTTTCACCTCCCCTCTTCTATGTTCAAGCACATCAACCTATTTCCCCCGCCTCTTCGGTTACTTCGAATACAATACGACAGATGGATGGCTAACAACCACGCATGTGAGACTCCGGCTGGCCTCGATTGTGCGGCGACAGGTGGAGGGAAAGAAGCATTGTGCAGCCCTCTGCATCATTTAATTTGCGAGTCCAATGGGGCGATTGTGGAACTAGAGGCGCCACCCATTGCAAAAAGAAATTAATCGGCACTTGGTTGTCTTCCCCCATAAGTAGTTTAGCATTTCTAATTTGAAAATCTTGTTCTTAACTTTATTTGCATTCTGATTGTTAAAAGCTTCGTCAATTTGTGTATTTCGCAAGGATTTATCCTCTTTATATTAGGATTAGCTTTCATTTTATTTAACATATATAGGAGGTTGATTTTCATTAAAAAATATGAATGTGTGTGTGTTTTCAAATGAATCTCTTACTTCGCTGCTCTAAGTTTACGAATTTAATATTGAAATTGATGATCTAGATTCCCAATTCAATATGCTTATTAAAATATAACTGTGTGTGCTCGTCGTAGTTCGGAAATGGTTTTTAAAGTTTAAGTGAAAGGATGAGAGTGAGCATATTAGATAATCTCTCTGTTCTATATTTTTTAGCACCTTATCATTAATTATGTTTTATTAGAGGATATTGTTGTTCAAAGAGAATAACTTTTTAGCAATCATTTATCTTGTTCATTTTCTTGAGTTTTTTTATTTGCTAGCCACCATAAAATGAGAAGAACTGGACTCTCTGTAGGTTATGGAGGTTATGTTTGATTTGAACCATGCATATTTCGAAAATTGAAGTATTTTTCATGTTTAGAAACTTCAACTTGAAACAAAGATGCAATTGTTATTAATCTTTATTTTGTTTTATATAGTTTAGCTATTATATTTGATTTACCGGTGCATGTGTATATCGGTGTATGCTTGCTTAATTCTTCCCTGTTACAAAATTTACACTTGTTTAAAGTTATTATTTTGAGGTCTTCCTATGGAGGAATTACATATGCTTTGAACCAAAACATGAGCCCTCATCTGCTAGCGTATATCACCAACGAAATGTACCATTCAGTTGTGTGATGCTTTTCAAATGTGTATATATTATGAACGCCTCATACTTTTGAACCGAAAAGTATTTTTCTAAATGCATGTCGTATTTTCTTATAATACGTTAACTCATTCACTTGTTAATGCATAGCAGACACCCCACAACTCTTTTTATCATGATATTGCTCAAAGCTTTCATGGTTTTAGGTACATGTTCATATACCAAATTCCATTCATCATTTGCTGCATAAAAAAAAGAAAGGAATGTAGCCTGCACACTTCAACTCAATCTCGAAGGGGCAAAGGCATGTATTACTTTTATTAAACAAAAAATTGGATTTCTTTTGTAACTTTCTATATGTTTTTCTCATCACTTTATGTAGTACTTTTTGGAAGTTTTCCCTTGGATGATTAGGAATCTTTGCATACTTTACTACATTTTTCCTAAACTCAAATTAGTTAAGACTGATTAAACATACGACCATTAAATTATCTATTTTATTGATTTTTATTTAAATGTCATTTCCATTTTATTTTATCTATATTGTCAACGTATGATAATTTTCAATATCAACTTTTTTGCGCATACTAAGGTTCACCTTATTTCAACATAAGACAACATGAATTATATACTTATCTAGATTAGAATAATAAATTACCCAATTGAGGGTCGTTGAAGAAAATAACAAAGGGGAACTATTTGTTCTGTGGGCTGGAAATAACAAACAGGAACTATTTGTTCTTGATAGGAGGATGTTCGGTACACTATTGGAATGGGTACAATAAACTTTATGTCTATGTGAAAAACTCATACTCACAACCATATATGCTAATATAACAATTTGCAGACCTTTAATAACTCTTTTCCTTTGGTTTGAACTATCATTAGCTTATATTTTATGATTGACTTTTCTTGGAAAGGGCTGTTTTATAGTTTGGAGATAGTTTACTAAGACTAGATGTTGATTCTGCAAATTAGAGGCTTGATTTGTCAACAAAGGCATGTTCCTGGATACAACACTAAGCAGAGAATTCTGGAAATGCATGTTGGATCTTTATGTTGATATCAAGAAGAGTTATGACATCATATATGATGAAGAGAAGGGGGTTGTGAATGTTGGGTGTGTTTCGGAAAAAACGAAGAAATATTAATTAAATAAAATTAATTAATAAACAAAATAGCTAAAAGAAAACAGAAAATAAGATGGAGCAGATTTTAGCCAGAGCTCGTGCTACGCACGATGTCCTTAAAACGTATTCGTCGCCTCCCACGGTGCTAGGAGCGTTGCAACGACCGTTTCCCAGGATACGGTGGCTAACGAACGATCGTTTGAGCACACAAACGAAAGTTCCGGCGAACTGGAACACAGTAAGAACACTTAGGAAATTTGGGAGTAGCTGGAAGAGTTTTTAGCTCAAGAAAACGTGAGAAAAGTATTGTGCGTTGTCAAACCGTGTGTTTGTTGCAAAACACCTGCCAGCTATTTATAGGAGGATTTGTTGTGTGTTAAATGGGGTGTTAATGGACCTGAACGTTGGACATCAATGACCAGTCCGTTGGGCATTGAATCGTCCATTTAACGCAGCATTAAAAGAGAAGAACGTTGGGCATTAATTGTTGTAACGGAAGAATTGCGCGACAGAAGACGCCTTTTTGGACGGCATTCGTGTCCGTAGGTCGCCCGCGCACACGAGTCGCGGTTTTTCTTCTCCGTTTCGGGATTTGATCGGCACCCCCCTGCACGTAAGAGAGAGCCTTTCCCTTTAGGAATCTTAACTCTTTAAAAGAGGCTTCCCTTTATAAGGGGGTGAAAATCCCTTGAGTTTTTCGGTGTGGGATAAAACACATTAGAAACTCATCATTTTCCCAGTTTTTCCATTTCAACGAGCGAACTTCGAGAATCAATTTCTCATTCACCCGTTATCCGTTTTGAGCGTACCATATATCGAATTGTAACCCTTAACAAGGACAATCCGAAACCACTTTAACCCGACCCAAATCGGAAGTGGGCCCCACTCAAATAATTTCCCCAAAATGACCATTTAATGCAATTTTTAACACAGTTTTCCAATAGTGAATAGATCTCACACTGGAGTTGCTATTCCTTTTGGTTTGATAAACACGGAACTTGCAAAAGTGATCCGGTTTGCTAAGAATCTTAGAACATTTGATAATAGTCAGGTGGCCCTAAAATTTATTTCAAAATTATATAAGAGAGATATAGTGATGAGAGATAAAAGTAGATTTCATCATTTCAGGAAAACAATGTTCTTGCAAGGACTATTGGTGATTAAATGGTATTTACTCGTTTTGAAAACTGATATTCTTCATTTAACTTATACATATTCTACTTCATATTTGTTGTCTGTATTCATGGTCATTGTGTTTCTACAGGTGGTGACTGGTGATGACATAAAGCTTTTTGCATATTCTGTCAAGAAGTTTACGAAATTTTCTCGACATGACATTTGTCCAGCACCTCAGAGACCATCTGTACAGTTTGTGACCAACACGATTTTCAACACTACTTCTTTTCTCTTGATCCAGGCTTCATACTTGATAGATATATTTTGTGTTGGTGCGAGAAACTGTGTTATTAGTAACAGTGCATCGATCTAACCCTTCTGGAGGGGGTGCAAAAATAGACCTGGTTGCCCGAATCAAGTGCAGGGCTTCTAGGAAGATTACATGTAGTACACTTTCTCATTTTGGTGAATTTCTAGCTTATTCTGGTCATGTCAAGCCCAGCCTTTTGGGAACATAACCACACTGAAAGTGGCAAAGTTCCTTGGAATGTGGATCAAAGGCAGTTTCCTTTAGATTTACCCTTTGCTCGTCCATTGTTTTCAGCCTTGAGCCCTTGATTCTTCACAATTTAAGCTCCAGTTTTATTTCGATATAGCGTTAGATCAACATTTATAGTACAGAAGAGTTTGCACTCTTTATTTTCATTGATATGTTATGGAGTTTTCTACTTTTCTTGAATGTGCCATGATGACATGAGGTACATAACATGAAGTTATCAATGATTATTTAATGCTGATAGTTTTCTTAAATTATTCTTGATAGTGGTGATAAATGAATATATTTAGTGATAACTTTATTGTTTTCTAAATTATATGGAGTATTTTTTTCTTGTCTGGAAAAAGGAGCAAGTACATCGTTGATGTTTAGTTCCAGGTGCATATTGCCTCTAAAGTTTTGAAAGACGCAAACTTATCCCTAGAGCTCATATTTAAGAGTAAATTTACTGGTATTCAAATTAATACATAAATAAAAAATGTATATTGACAAAAAATGAATATTTTGACCACCATTTATAATTCGGTTGATTTATTTTGAATCATCACGGTTCAAGTAGCAAACCAATAACGTTCAAAAATAATTAGAAAGATATTCCAAATATATTCAATCATCTTATACAATAAGTAATTCGATCACATTAGCATCATAGTGTTATATGAATTATAGACTAATCAAGTTCAAGTAGTAAACCAATAAATTCATTGTTATTCACCCTAAATCGAGGAATTGATATCCCTACAATGGCCTTGGGCATTACCACGAACGCGCAACGCGCGTTACAAAACTAGTTAGCGTATAAATGTTTACTTCCCTAGTGCACACTACAAACTAGCAGATTATATTTGTAGTCTTGAACTCTTGCAGGCTGCAACTTAAGAAACAGACTTGAGAATATCATAAAAATATACTTCGTATAAACTAGAACCATAGAACATATTGCACACCTATAGAAAAGGTACTGCATCAAAAACAAACTGCATTGTGGTTTCAAATCATAGCAAATCAAATTACGAAAATTCAGTTTTGCAAAAAACAAAACATACTGCTACTAACTTTAAAAAGATACTATGAACGTATCTTGGGTCCCTAATTTAGTTCGTGAAATAAATGGACCACCGGTTACCAGCCCTAAAAACGAAAGTATTTTTTTTTGGAAAAGTAATTTAACGGGCCACCGGCTGGACCTTTATTTTTCCGGGTTTGACCCGGACCGGACCGGAACCCGAAATCTTAATATTCTAAAGACCGAAACCCGTACCGGTTAACACCGGTCCGGACCGGTCCAATCCAGTCTGGTTCAGGTCTAAATTACGGTCTGGCCCGGTTAATTAACACCCCTAATCATTGACCATGTAAAGTCAATATTGCAAACCTTTTTGGGACGGAGGTAGTATAATATAAAAAGGGAAAATAAATAAAATTCCCTAAACTTTACATAAGTGTGATATCCCGACCCCAAACTTGTCCACGTTGTATAAATATCTCCTACTATGTAAAATTGAGATATTTATGCCACATGTCCTACTAAACCATCTAATAAAGCACACACTTTTTTGGGAATCATGCATCTTTTTTTCCTAACTAAATCTATTTAACAGGTTTTAATATTGAGAAGTATTGTACCCAGCCTAAAGCACACATTTAGGTCATCTCGTAGGAGATGCCCCACTGGGTCGGCAATGTGACTTCTGTGGGGGCTTTTGTTTCAAAGTCGTAACAGAGTGAGAAAGGAGTTTCACCCGTCGCCCTGCGGGGTGTTGTTCTGTAGGCCCACAGAATGTTGTAGAGTTCTTCTACCCAGCCTCCACCCTCGTTAGTGAGCTTCTTTTCCAAGCCCTCGAGGATGGTTCGGTTGGCATTTTCAACCTGCCTGTTGCACTGCGGGTAGGCGAAGGAGGCTGTGGTGTGTTTGATTCCCCAGTTGGCCAGCATGTCTTGAAAGCTTTTAGCCACCTGAGCTATCTTGGAGATGTGCTCAGGCGTGTCTAAGCTCAGTTTGGACAAAATATCAGCTTCTTGATTTTGCGTCTGTGGTACCTGCAAGATTTTGTACAGCTGGAATGTTCCTTGGAGTTCCAATGCAGCGGCTTCGTATTCTTTCATTTGGGCTTCCTTTGTTTCATAGGAGCCGTTGATTTTCCCGGAATAACAACGGTTCTAAACTTTTCGTTACATAAGCCGGTCAGGCTTTACCGGAAGCCGACCGGTTCTTGGCGCCGTAGTTTAATTCACCAATTAATTACAAAAGTCGGGTGGGATTTGCCAAAGTCGGTTGGTTTTCGGCCGCGTAGGTTTTTCTCCCCAAAACAAACGCCGGCCGGTTTGTAGCGCCGTACTTTATTCCCAAATATTTATTCCGAATGCCGGCCGGTTTCTACGAAAGCCGGCAAGTTTTCATCAGCAAGATATTTTATATGATAATTCATCTCGAAAGTTGGCCGGTTTTTGTGAATGTCGGTGATGCACACTAATTAGTAGTGCATAATTATATGTTTTTATGTTTGATTTATGTTGATTGTTTAACGTTTTATTTAGTTTGTAAACATTTATGTAATTTCAGTTGTAATTGTATTTTATTCTTTATTTATAAGTTGTAAAGTATAGTTAGGATTAGTGATGTTGGAAAGGAAGACTTTGAAGAGAAGAAAACAAGAAATTTGACTGCCCAGGAGTGAAACCCGACCGGGTAGAAACCCCCACCCGGTCGGGTATGATTTAACAGACGAAATTGACAAGAAAGTCACTGGACCCGGTCGGGTCCCCTACTTGACCCGGTCGGGTCAGATGTGACCCGGGACAAAACGACGTGCGAAGATCACCAGAACGTGGCGAATTATCTGATTTTGACCGGACCCGGTCGGGTAAGTACTTGACCCGGTCGGGTACCCGGCCAAAGGTGTTGAAAAACACCTATAAATAGCACACTTTTTCTTCTCTAAAAATCATCCTTTCTTCCATACTCTTAAGCTCAGTTTAGAATAGCATTTCTTTATATTTTTCTAGCTATGTTTAGTCTCCAAATGAGGAGCTAAACTTCCATTCTTGGTGTTGCTTTTGAAGCTTGTTGATTATTAAAGTTGTGAGTTATTTTCTTAACTTCTTTCCTTGAATATTAATTAATAGTTTTTTTCCTTAATACCATTTCTATATTAATGTTGGGGAGTGTTGCTAAGATGACAATTAGTAAACATCTCGACATTAGTTAGAATAGTATTTTCTTCCTCTATATTAATGTTGGGGAGTGTTGCTAAGATGACAATTAGTTAACATCTTGATATTAATTATAGTAGGATTCATCTTCTTTAATAATATTCTTCCTTGAATATTAATTAATCCCTACTCATATTTCATATTAATATTTTGAACATTACTTAAAGGATCAACTAGTTTTGTTTCATATATTAATTATTACTAGAAACGATCAACGAACCGATGGTTAATCGTTGATGGTTTCACAAGTAAGTAACTTCGGTTTATTAATGCACGGTCGTGGTTAATAAACTTAAGAGAGATTAATTTTGTTGGTTAAACCAAAACCGTTGTGTTGAGGTTATCAATCTCAATTGATTTCATCAAGGAGTTAGAAAGATTAAATGCTACTATTAAATCGGTATAAGGTGTTGTTCTATATTTGATTAATAGTAAGGGTTATTAATGAACGGTTGTTGTTAATAACTACCCTCGATGAAGTGGATATACTCCCCGATTGAGTATTCGAGAGGGAATAAGTTATAGATATAACAATGATCGACTAAAATATATCAACAAGTGGAAAGTAGCAATGCCAAGTCCTTTTTATCTTTGAATTAAATCTCATATAGGTTGTTCATCTTAGTTTTTAATTAAATTAAATCACTCAATCCAAATCCCCCCTTTATTTACTAAGTTTCATAAAAAGAGAATTATTCCTTTCCCTGTGGATACGAACTCTACTACGCTATACTACGTATAAGTGTTTAGTATTGAAATTATTTTGACGCACCGTGACAGTGCTCGTCAAATTTGGCGCCGTTGCCGGGGAGAGGCAATTATTTTTCTTTTTATGTTATCTCATAAAAATCAAAAACAAAAAAATATATTTTAAAAAAAGAAAAATTTTACTTTTCTATTTTCTGAGCTTGCATGAGTAAATGGATACCAACACATCATCCCTAGAGAGTCAAATTTCCGACTTGACTTCTCTAATAAAGGAGTTTATCTCATGTTAAAAATCTCAAGATGTCCATACATGCAACATTTGCATGTCACAAAGGCATCTTACAGATTTTTGCCCAGAGCTTCGAGAAGAATTCTTTGAACAAAGGAATGGTGTTGGTTTCCAAGAGAGGTATGATTCATCCTCCAACACATATAGCCCATACTCATGTTCTTATTCCAGCATGTCCACTGAAGACATGATCCGAGCTCTCACTATCAATGTGACAAATATGCAACAAAATATGTCACAATGCTCGTAAGAAGCAGTGTCCAATGAACATAACTTGGACAATCAGTTGAAACAAATGCCAAGCATTGTGAACCACATGGGCGAGGAGGAAGAAGAAGAGGAGCTTACGGAGAAAGCTCAACCGGAGGAGGCACCTCAAAACTCAACTCAACCACCGGCCATTCCTGAGATCATGCCACCATTTCCTGAGGCTCTAAGGGAAACACAAAGGGTGGAGAAGGACAAAGATATCTATGAAATCTTCAGCAATTGTGAGTATAATTTAGACTTCTCTTTGTTCACAAATAAGCAAGGAATAACGGTGGGATTACACAAATATTTCATACTCCCTCTTATACCACCCGTATCAAAACCCCTTCCATTGACCATGCTTAATGAAAATCATGGACCAACACTCTCACAATATGAAGCAATAGAAATCTGGATATTTGATCCTGGAAAGGTCAAAATAAAGGGTCGAAAAACTGAGTCTTTCTATAAGAGTTACCCGGGTGAAAATTTAAAGAAGATGAGTTATCACGATCCAGACTTGAACGATTTAACACAACCATGGCGTCGCGCCGCGACGTTAACTAAGGCGCTTCTTGGGAGGCAACCCAAGCAAGGTACGTTTACTTATTTTTACACATTTCAAAAAAAAATGACTTGGGATTGAACTCGGTCGGGTATAAAACCCTACCCGGTCGGGTTACCTCTTAAAACACAGCACCCGACCAACCGCCCGGGCGAGGCAGATGAAGAACAAAGAATAAATCAACCGCCCGACCGGGTAG